GACAGAATTTAAAAAAAAAAATCCAGGAAATCACATTGTATGATTTGTAAAGAATGTATTTGTCTTGCACTGCTGAACAGAAGTATTTGAACACCTAAGAAACAGCAAGAATTCTGGCTCTCAAAGACCTGTTGCTGTGCCTTTAAAAGTCCACCTCTACTCCACTCATTCATCTAACTTAGTAGCACCTGTCTGAGCTCTTTAAAGACACCTGTCCACCCCACAGTCAGTCAGATGACAACTACTACCATGGGCAAGACCAAAGAGCTGTCAAAAGACACCAGAGAAAAAATTGTGGCCCTCCACAAGGCTGGAAAGGGCTACGGGGCAATTGCCAAATAGCTTGGTGAAAATAGATCAACTATTAGAAAATGGAAGAGGCTAAAGACGACTGTCAGTCTGAAGTTTGCCAATGACCATCTGGATGATCCAGAGGAGGCATGGGAGAAAGTCATGTGGTCAGAGGAGACCAAATTAGAACTTTTTGGTCTAAACTTCACTCGTCGTGTTTGAAGGAAAAAGAAGGAAGATTTGAATCCCAAGAACACCATCCCTACTGTGAAGCATGGGGGTGGAAACATCATGCTTTGGGGGTGCTTTTCTGCGAAGGGGACAGGACGACTGCACTGTATTAAGGAGAGGATGAATGGAGCCATTTATGGTGAGATTTTGAGCAACAACCTCCTTCCCTCAGTCAGAGCATTGAAGATGGGTCGTGGCGGGTCTTCCAACATGACAACGACCCGAAGCACACAGCCAGGATAACCAAGGAGTGGCTCCGTAAGAAGCATATCAAGGTTCTGGAGTGGCCTAGCCAGTCTCCAGACCTAAACCCAATAGAACATCTTTGGAGGGAGCTGAAACTCCGTGTTGCTCAGCGACAGCCCCGAAACCTGACAGATTAGAGGAGATCTATGTGGAGGAGGGGGCCAAAATCCCTGTTGCAGTGCAAACCTGGTCAAGAACTACAGGAAACGTCTGACCTCTGTAATTGCAAACAAAGGCTTCTGTACCAAATATTAACACTGATTTTCTCAGGTGTTCAAATACTTATGTTCAGCAGTGCGAGACAAATACATTCTTTAAAAATCATACAATGTGATTTCCTGGATTTTTGTTTTTAAATTCTGTCTCTCAGAGTGGAATGCACCTACAATGTGAATTTCAGACCCCTCCGTGATTTCTAAGTGGGAGAACTTGCAAAATTGCAGGGGGTTCAAATACTTCTGTTCCTCACTGTATAGGTGGGGTGTTGTCCATTGTTCACTGCCATGTGGTTGTTCCATTGTTCTCTGCCATGGAGCTGCATCCCATTGTTCTAGCAAACTATTATGGGATGCATGTGTTCCCCTATTGTCTACTGCCATGTGGTGTATATCCCTTTGTTCTATTGTCTTGGTTTGGTGGGGGGTGTTTCTGGCAGCCCTTCCCCCTGATGGGACGGCCTGCTGATGTGTTTCCTGTTCCTGGTTGTATTTCCCTGCCCTGTGTATATATCTTGTGTTTGTGTTAAAATATAACGCAGTTGACTTCCTGTCTTAAGAAGAGTCTGGTGCTGTCTATTTCCTGCATGATCAGCGGTGGTGTCCAGGGATCTGTGTTCGGACAGGGAAGCTGGAGTCTAACGGAAATACCCAAGTGCGGTCTGGGTCCGTTACAGCATATATGTGGCCTCTCGCCAGTAAGGCCCAACATGCCAAGAGGCCGAATATGTACGTACCGCCGGCATCAACAGGTTGAAGGGATAAAACATGAGAAAAACATGCATGTTTTATGGAGATGTACCGATCATGTGGGGGGTTTTATTTTGCCCTGACATACACTTTAATGAACGAAGTGATTTTTTTTTTTTTTTTTTTAAATGATCCAGTTTTGTCAATTAGGAATCGGCCATTAAAAAAGTAAATAATAAACAGTCTTTTTGTTTTTTAATAAGAGATTGACATAATTTGTATGCTAGCAACTTTTAAAGGGATCCAAAATTCACTTATCCAGCTCTGTGCATGAAATAATAATACAACAAAACAAAGTTTAAAAAAAAAAAAAACAAGATAAAAAAACTCATTACACCATGCCAATTTTGTACATTTACAAGAGCTATGCAGCAAGCAGACCTGGATGTAGGCATCTGTACCAAACTACCAAATCATTGAAAGCTGATCTCCAGGGAAATGGGAAAAAAAAACTGCTCTTGTAATGGGGCTTCCCAAAATGCTCCAAGGGTTAAATGAACTTTTTTTTTTTTTTGCTTAGGGTACCATTAACCACTTCCTGTCCTAGGTGAACACTTTGCTGAGAGCGCTGCAACAAGCGGATGTCAGAAAGCATACTTGGGATCAGGAGCTTTCTAATCAAGTGACTTCTGTAACTGCCATTCACAGCGTTCACTTTTGGAATGCCCGCCTCCTGGAATTTAGATCCTCTTAAAGCAGGGGATGGGCAACTGTGGCCCTCCAGCTCTTGGTGAACTACAAGTCCCATCATGCCTCTGCCTTTGGGAGACATGCTTGTAACTGTCAGTTTTGCAATGCCTCATGGGACTTGTAGTTCTACAACAGCTGGAGGGCCACAGTTGCCCACCCCTGTTTTAAAGGGTTGGGAGGTGGAGGCGGGAAGGGGTTAAAATGTTTTAATTACGTATCCTTCGCCCACCCCCCCGGCTTCCTCCTTTCAATGTGACCAATTCCCTGAAGCCGCTTCTCTTCAACAGCTGGTCTGGTAGGCACAGCTCTGGCATCATCATGGACAATGCAGGACCAGCAGTCCCGTGTTGTAAGTGAGAATGCACAGGGAGCCCACCCATAACTGGGACCATTGGAGGAAAGTGCCGGCTGCCAGGGGAGCTCACAGGATTTGGTGGACAGCAGCAGGAGCTGCTGCTGCCTTCATGTCTTGTTGAGTGACCCTAGGTCAGGGGTAGGCAACCTGTGGCTCTCTAGCTGTTGTGGAACTACATTTCCCATGAGGCATTGCAAAGATTACAAAACTGACAGTTACAGCTATGACTTGCAGAGACATGATGGAACTTGTAGTCCTGCGGCTCTCAGGTTGCCTACCCCTGCCCTAGGTTCACATCTGTGCGGGTGGTGCCGCTGCGGATCCGCACGAAAATCCGCACAGAGGAATGTGGATCCGCGGGTGGGTGCCATTAGTTCTGATGGCACGCCGCCCGCACTGGTAAACGCAACCGTACTGGGAACCTCGGCTGCATTTTCCAAAGAAGTGTCACGGCATGGAAGTCCATTTAAATGAATGGGCTCCCGTGCAAAACGCGGCCCGCACGGCTGCATAGATGTGAACCGGGGGTAAGAGAGGAGACGGGCACAGAGCTGGATCGAACAAAGGACTCAGGGGGGTGATACAACTGCTGGGACATTTTTTTACCTTGAAGAAAATAACGCATTAAAATAATAATAAAAAAAAACAAAAAAACCTGCCTTAACCACCAAAGTACCAGCCAGCAATGTGACCAGTTCCTCGAAGCAGGGGCGGACTGACAACTCATGGGGCCCCCAGGCAATAGGGGAACATGGGGCCCCTGTGTCCTTGCCCAAAACTCAAAAAAGCCTATGAAAAAGGTACCAGGGACATCTCATGGGGCCCACTACTGTCCCCAGGGCAGCGCCCGAGTTTCCAAATGGTCAGTCCGCCCCTGCCTCGAAGCCTCTTCTCTTGGGCGCTCTGGCATCATTATGTACAATGCAGGACCAGCAGTCATGTGAGGACACTGACAGCCAACCCACAGCTGGGACCATAGGAAGGAAGAGGAGAGCGCCGGCTGCCAGGGATCCTTTTCTCCTGGTAACCTAGGCAAAAAATTAGCATGTCCTTTGCGGGGGTGGGGGGAGCCCCACTGAAAGGGGAGTTTTTTTTTTTTTTTTTGCAGCTCCCCAGATTTCAGTTTAAAGACGTTTTTAAAGAAAAACCTATTTACAGATGGCGATGGACTGTATGAAGCTGCTGAGAGATGGATAAAGTGCATAGATACACCTGATGGCAATCCGATTAAATATTGCTTTTATAGCGAATATCCTTACAGGACTTGGAAAGCAAAAAAAACAAACAAACAAAAAAAAAAAAAAAAAAAAAAAACACAAAACGGACCGATATTGATGCAAAGGCTTGTCATGACCTGCTTGATACATAGCTCTCTATCGCCACCTCATGGTAGTTTTAGGTTGCTGCAAAAAGAAGGTTGAGTTGGGGGTATTGATCAGGTTTTTAGTGGACGTTTACATACCTTAAAAAAAAAGGAAAAAAAAAATCCAAAGCTCGCAGGCAAATAACTTGTGCCTCTAGCAGCAGATGCGCTCTTAGCTTACAATAATTATTCATCCCCGCAAAGTTTATTCTAAAACTACATGTGATTCTTCCATCCTTCCACACATGCTAGACAGTCACAACTGCTGTTTTTTTTTGTATTTTTTTTCTTTAAAAGAAAGCAAAAAAAAAACAAAAAAAGGGATCGAGGGGTGAAAGGAAGTTACTTTACCTAAGTTTTCATTGCTAAAAGTCTAAAGGTAGGTTCGTATTTATATATTTATAAAAAAAAAAAAAAAAAAAAAAAAAAAAAAAGAAGAGCAATGCAATGCGTTTCTTAACCTTCTAACTCCAAAAATTCCTCCCCCCACAAAAAAAAAAAAAAAAAGTCAAATTCAGGTCCCGCTGGCAGTGAAGAGGCCTGGCCGTTCTTCGAGGTGCTCGAGTTCGTTAGTCCAGGAAGTGGAGGGTTCTGCCTCCTGCAAGGAAGACCCAATGTTTGTCCCTCACACCCACCCCCTCCACCTTTCTGTGTTCACATGCCCAGATGTCCTTTTTTTGAGGATCGACAAAAAGATCTTTGACACGATACATTAAAAGGGAGTGGGAGGCCGGGTAAGAGGCGGGGTGGTGGCAACGGTAAAAGGAGAGGGTATAGGGTGCTAATGTACAAGTTTCTCCGTGGCAATTTCAATCCCTAAACAAAAAAAAAATCCCCACGATGTGGCTCGGTGACGGATCTACGACCTCGGAGTCTCTTCCACGATCTTGATGCTGTGCTGCTGCAGCTGCGCTCTCAGAAGTGTGTTTTCGTCCTTCTGTTCTTCGATCTGCAAAAGTTAGAAGATATCAATGTGGCGGCTGTGACTGACGATGCAGAGAGTCAGAATCCACACTAAAGACAGGGAACCTCCATCAATACAATGCAAATCACCCGACGAAGGTAGCTAGTATATACATATTGCGGGGCGATTACAGCACGATCGAGCTTAGGCTTACGTACAAATGAACACGCACATACATGAACCACTTCACGCCGGCCTGAATGCAAATGTGTGGCCTTCCGGCGTCTGGGCCTAGACGCCGAGCGGCCACACATTTGTGTTCTATTAAAAAAAGAACATATGTGCTGAGAGCGCACGCTCCCAGCACACGAGTCCGGTACTCAAGGAAAGGTCCCGATCTTCTCTTTCGATCGGGACCTTTCCTGATCATGTGACTTCAGTGACGGCGGTCACATGACCCTAAACCCCGCCCCGCCTCCTGGCTTCTGAAACCCTTAAAGGGCCTGGAGGCACCGGCGTGAAGGGGTTAACCACTTCAAGTAGCATTAAACTCTCATTTTAAAGTAGTTATAAAGCCTAAACATTTTGTACCTAAATGCATTCCTTGCATTAACCCCTTTGCGATGGCGCTTCCCTGCCCTTTAAGAGGTTTCAGAAGCCAGGAGGCGGGGTTTTAGGGTCATGTGACTGCCGTGATTCGCTGTCAAGGTGGTCACAAGATCAGAAAAAGGTTCCAATCGCAACGGGCCCTCTTTCAATGCAGCGCTGCGCATATCTGTAACTCTCCTCTCCCCCCAATTCCTGGTCCCACTTTGCTGAGGCAGCACAAGCCATTGGCTCCTGCTGCTGTCAATCAAAAGGCAGTGACGAGGGAGCAGGGGGCGGGGCTGAGTTCTGTAGCTATAGACTCTGCAGACAGTTGGCGACTTCTGTGCATTGTGCGCTTCAGCATGCGCTGACCCCACTCTGTCATGTGGCGTGGCCTACCACTTGGTACATCTTTAGTATCCAGGAAATGTCACGGATGGACTTATTGCACAGGTGACCACCTATCACGGGACCACGCTTGGAGTCACTGAGCTCCTGAGAGCGACCCATTCTTTCACCAATGTTTGTAGAAGCAGTCTGCATGCCTAGGGGCTTGATTGTATACACCTGTGTCCATGGAGGGGATTGGAACACCTGAATCACATGATTGGGAGGGCGGGCCCAATACATATGGCAATATAGTATATGTGCACAGTGGTGTATTTAGGTTTTGTGCTGCCCTGGGCAACACAAAAATTGGAGAACCCCCCCCCCGCCACAGAAAGAGCCTGACATTGACAAAGAGCACCCCTGCGCTCCACCCAAGCCTTTCACTACCACTGCCCCCCACACCATCCCCCATGACGAGAGAGAGTACAACACTCACCTTCACAGCTCTGGACATCCCCAGTAACGAGAGTCGGGCTAAGCATACACCGTCATGAAACCCACATATCTCTTGGAACCCACCAGATCCCCATGCTGCGTGCGTTCCTTCTTCCAAGGGGCATTGCTGCCCCCCCCCTGAAAAATGCCACCCTAGGCAAATGCCTTGTTGCCTTGTGGTAAATACACCCCTGTATGTGCAGTGTTTAGGCATTAAAGCTCACCCTTTTGCCATCGCACATCTGTGTTACAGCAACAGGTTAAGGAGGTAAATGTGTATACTTTTGGCAATACAGTGTATATGTGTAGTCTGGTGTCGCTGTTTTGTGCTGGGAGCTTGCTCAATCATCGTCACCAACAGCTCCCGGTCAATTAGCAATGATCTGGAGTCCATAGGACAGGCTCCTGATCATGTGATTACTGTGATATCCAATAACAATCACCACATTACCAAAAAGTCCACGGGGTTACGATCTCCAAGGGTTGGCAGTAAAGGATTAGAAATGCTGCAAATACAGCAAAACACCAGTTGATCTGCCAACAATCCTGTAAATCTCAAGCAGTGTTATCAGCCCTGTGCCGGACAACAGAACACATCGCCCTGAAGAAGAGGTATGTCCTTTGTGACCATCAAGGAACATGCTTCATCTTTAAATATATTTTGCCTCCTCTTTGCATGATTCAAGTAGCTGTCGCAACAAAGCCAAGAAGCAAAGCCCTTACTACAGCGACCTGGAAAAAAAGTGCCAAGTCCTGAAAATGTACCAACTCAATGAAAAAAACCTGAGCGGAACCCTACAAGGGGTATAACTGACCTGCTGACGTAACAGCTCATTGTCCATCTGCAGCCTCTCCACCTCCTTAAATGTCTCCTGCATACGCTGGCCAGTCTGGCGCAGCTCTCGGATGTAGTCACAAGCTTTGGACAGAATCCCACCTTTACTTTGCTGGAAATGGACATATGACAAGTATTTAGTTATTGAGATTAGATGGATTTGTCATTTTTGAAAACAGACATTATAGAGTGACAGGTCTTACTGCTCCCGTTTTGCTGCTCTCTGTGTTGCAATCTGGAATGATTTTGGACAGCTGGACAATCCAATTGTTAATCTTGTCTCTTCGCCTTCTCTCCACTGTGGGGAAGAACAAACTGTCAGAATCAAATTCTTCAGACACAGAAAAGTCATTAACAGCTAAGTTCCCCTTTAATCACTTAAAGCGGAGTTGCACCCAAAAGGGGATGTTCTGCTTTAAAGATTGGTCCCTCGCTCCCCATTAAAGATTGGCACCTTTGGGGAGCGAGTACCCGAAATTGACAGGTCCCCGCTCCCACTTCCGCTGCGTTCGCCTAGGTGATCGGAAGTGGAAGTTGTCCTCCTACCCTCCCTCCCCGAAGTCTTGTGGGACACGTGACAGGTGCCAGAAGACGATGGGGCCATTCAGGAAGCACAGCACTACTCGCGCATTCTGCTTTAAGGACTGCTTTCCCGCTCCCCATTAAGGATTGGCACCTTTGAGGAGCGGGTACCCAAATTTGACAGGTACCCACTCCCACTTCCGGTCCAATCCCCTAGGTGATCGGAAACAGAAGGTGTCCTCCCTCCCTCCCTGTAGTCTTTTGGGACACGTGACAGGTCCCAGAAGACTACAGGACCATTCATGAAGTGCAGCGCTTCTCGCACATGCGCAGTGGGTACCCGGCTGTGAAGACGCAAGCTGTCACAGCCGGGTGCTCACACTGGGACAGGTGAGTGGCTGTTTTTTAAAAGTCAGCAGCTACAGTTTTTGTAGCTGTTGACTTTTATTTTTTTACACAGTGAGTGGAACTCCGCTTTAAGCTCCAGAAGATCTTACCCCCCTCTTACCAGGCCATTTTTTGCTATACTGCACTGCGCTAATTTAACTGGTAATTGCTGGGTCATGCAACGCTGTACCTAAATTAAATTGATGCAAATTTTTTCACACAAATAGAGGGGGATTTTTTGGTGGTATTTGATCATCACTGGGTCTTTTTATTAATTGAGATATAAATGGACTGAAAATTTTGAAAGAAAAACCAAAACAATATTTTTTTTTACTTTCTGCTAAAAAACATCCAGAAAAAAAAAATAAAAAAAGTGTTCATAAAATTTGGCCATAATTTATTCTGCCACATATCTTAGATTTAAAAAAAATCCAAATATGTGTATATTGATTGGTTTGCGTGAAAGTTATAGTGCCTACAAACTATAGTGTATATATATATATATATATATATATATATATATATATATATATATACAGTCAGGTCCATAAATATTGGGACATCGACACAATTCTAACATTTTTGGCTCTATACACCACCACAATGGATTTGAAATGAAACGAACAAGATGTGCTTTAACTGCAGACTGTCAGCTTTAATTTGAGGGTATTTACATCCAAATCAGGTGAACGGTGTAGGAATTACAACAATTTGCATATGTGCCTCCCACTTGTTAAGGGACCAAAAGTAATGGGACTTAATAATAATCATAAATCAAACTTTCACTTTTTAATACTTGATTGCAAATCCTTTGCAGTCAATTACAGCCTGAAGTCTGGAACGCATAGACATCACCAGACGCTGGGTGTCATCCCTGGTGATGCTCTGCCAGGCCTCTACTGCAACTGTCTCAGTTCCTGCTTGTTCCTGGGGCATTTTCCCTTCAGTTTTGTCTTCAGCAAGTGAAATGCATGCTCAATCGGATTCAGGTCAGGTGATTGACTTGGCCATTGCATAACATTCCACTTCTTTCCCCCAAAAAACTCTTTGGTTGCTTTTGCAGTCTGCTTTGGGTCATTGTCCATCTGCACTGTGAAGCGTCCAATGAGTTGTGAAGCATTTGGCTGAATATAAGCAGATAATATTCCCGAAACACTTCAGAATTCATCCGGCTGCTTTTGTCAGCAGTCACATCATCAATAAATACAAGAGAACCAGTTCCACTGGCAGCCATACATGCCCACGCCATGACACTACCACCACCATGATCACTGATGAGGTGGTATGCTTAGGATCATGAGCAGTTCCTTTCCTTCTCCATCCTCTTCTCTTCCCATCACTCTGGTACAAGTTGATGTCGGTCTCATCTGTCCATAGGATGTTGTTCCAGAACTGTGAAGGCTTTTAGATGTCGTTTGGCAAACTCTAATCTGGCCTTCCTGTTTTTGAGGCTCACCAATGGTTTACATCTTGTGGTGAACCCTCTGTATTCACTCTGGTGAAGTCTTCTCTTGATTGGTGACTTTGACACACATACACCTACCTCCTGGAGAGTGTTCTTGATCTGGCCAACTGTTGTGAAGGGTGTTTTCTTCACCAGGGAAAGAATTCTTTGGTCATCCACCACAGTTGTTTTCTGTGGTCTTCCAGGTCTTTTGGTGTTGCTGAGCTCACCGGTGCGTTCCTTCTTTTTAAGAATGTTCGAAACAGTTGTTTTGGCCACGCCTAATGTTTTTGCTATCTCTCTGATGGGTTTGTTTTGTTTTTTCAGCCTAATGATGGCTTGCTTCACTGATAGTGACAGCTCTTTGGATCTCATCTTGAGAGTTGACAGCAACAGATTCCAAATGCAAATAGCACACTTGAAATGAACTCTGGACCTTTTATCTGCTCATTGTAATTGGGATAATGAGGGAATAAACACACCTGGCCATGGAACAGCTGAGAAGCCAATTGTCCCATTATTTTTGGTCCCTTAACAAGTGGGAGGCACATATGAAAACTGTTGTAATTCCTACACCGTTCACCTGATTTGAATGTAAATACCCTCAAATTAAAGCTGACAGTCTGCAGTTAAAGCACATCTTGTTCGTTTCATTTCAAATCCATTGTGGTGGTGTACAGAGCCAAAAATGTTAGAATTGTGTCGATGTCCCAATATTTATGGACCTGACTGTATATACACATATACATACACACATATACACATACATACATATATATACACACACATACATACATACATATACACACATACATACATACATATACATACATACATATATACACATACATACATACATATATATACATACATATATACACATACATACATACATACATACATATATACACATACATACATACATATATACACATACATACATACAGTGGGGATCGAAAGTTTGGGCACCCCAGCTAAAAATTTGTATTAATGTGCATAAAGAAGCCAAGGAAAGATGGAAAAATCTCCAAAAGGCATCAAATTACAGATTAGACATTCTTATAATATGTCAACAAAAGTTAGATTTTATTTCCATCATTTACACTTTCAAAATAACAGAAAACATAAAAATGGCGTCTGCAAAAGTTTGGGCCCCCTGCAGAGTTAATATCTTGTACTGCCCCCTTTGGCAAGTATCACAGCTTGTAAACGCTTTTTGTAGCCAGCCAAGAGTCTTTCAATTCTTGTTTGAGGTATCTTTGCCCATTCTTCCTTACAAAAGTCTTCCAGTTCTTTGAGATTTCTGGGCTGTCTGTCACGCACTGCTCTTTTAAGGTCTATCCAGAGATTTTCATTTATGTTGAGGTCAGGAGATTGTGAAGGCCATGGCAAAACCTTCAGTTTACGCCTCTTGATGTAATCCCCCGTGGATTTCGAGGTGTGTTTAGGATCATTATCCATTTGTAGAAGCCATCCTCTCTTTAACTTCAGCTTTTTCACAGATGGCATCAAGTTACCATCCAAAATTTGCTGAAATTTTATTGAATCCATTTTTCCTTTTACTCGTGAGATATTCCCTGTGCCACTGGCTGCAACACAACCCCAAAGCATGATTGATCCAACCCCATGCTTAACAGTTGGACAGAGGTTCTTTTCATTAAATTCTGGCCCCTTCTTCTCCAAACGTACCTTTGCTCATTCCAGCCAAAACGTTCAATTTTAACCTCATCAGTCCATAGAACTTGTTTCCAAAATGCATCAGGCTTGTCTATATGTTCATTTGCAAAGTTCAAACAATGATTTTTGTGGTGAGGACGTAGAAGGCGTTTTCTTCTGATGACTCTTCCATGAAGACCATATTTGTACAAGTATCTCTTTATAGTGGAATAGTGTACCACAACTCCAGTGTCTGTCAGATTTTTCTGGAGGGATCGTGCAGTCAAACGTGGGTTTTGAATTGTTTTTTCTTACAATCCTGCGAGCTGTTCTGTCTGATATTTTTCTTGGTCTTCCAGATCTTGCTTTAACTTCCACTGTTCCTGATGACTGCCATTTCTTAATTACATTCCGAACAGAGGATATTGACATCTGAAAACGCTTTGCTATCTTCTTATAGCCTTCTCCAGCTTTGTGAGCGTCAACTATTTTCAGTTTCAGTTTTCTAGACAACTGCTTAGAAGAACCCATGGTGCTGATTGTTGGGGCAAGGTCAGATGAGTCTGGGCATTTAAAACCTTTGAGATTGACATCACCTGGTCTTCCCAGACGATGATTGAGAACAATCCATGACACTGGCAGGTCTCAGCTTAGCAAAGGGGGCAGTGCATGCTATAAATTCTGCAGGGTGCCCAAACTTTTGCAGACGTCATTTTTTTGTTTTCTGTTATTTTGAAAGTGTAAATGATGGAAATAAAATCTAACTTTTGTTGACATATTATAAGAATGTCTAATCTGTAATTTGATGCCTTTTGGAGATTTTTCCATCTTTCCTTGGCTTCTTTATGCACATTAATACAAATTTTTAGCTGGGGTGCCCAAACTTTTGATCCCCACTGTATATACACATACATACATATATATATATATACACACACACTGGAATTTTTTTTTTTGTTAATACTATTAATGGCGTTGCTCAACAATGGGACATGCGACTGCATTAATGAGGAGGGCAATCTGACACTGACTACCAGCCACTGACATCACCAGTGACACTAATACAGTGATCACTGATTTTATAAACTGTTACTATACTAACTGGCTAGAAAAGGGTAAAATTTAGGGCTATCAAGGGGTTAAATGTGTGCCTATGTGTAATGTGTGCTTTACTAAGAGATCTAAGTTTCTCATCCTTGCAAAGCAAGGGAAAATCCCTGCAAGACACAGAGATCTTTCCCCCCTGTACAGAGCGCTGTGTTAATTATCAACACAGAGTTCTGGGCTGTGATTGTACACAGCCGATCAGCAGGTCCCAGCCGTGAATCATTGGCCAGGATTCGCTGACAGGCTCCCGCTTTGTACAATCACAGATGGTGCATGTGCACGCCCGAAACTCTGAAGTAGGCATCGACTTGCAAGTACGTCGCTTTGCCATTAGCGGTCGCCCATCCGCAGTACGTTGCGGGCTGGTGAGTAGGCGCTAAGTGGTTAAGAAAAAAATAATTAAATAAATGCACATCTCTTTGCAGGAAAAAAAATGTGCATTTATTACTTTTTTCCAATGAGCATTGCACCCATGATCAGTAGATCAGCTCTACCTCTGAAGAAGTGCGTGCGCATGAAACGCGTCAGTTGGAGCCCAGTACGCCATTGAAACTACGCCGCCGGTGCCACGTGGAGGCCCGGCGGCCATCTTTAATCTTAAAGGCCTTTTCAGCTTCTGCAGACCCAGATTGATCCCTGCACCAGCCTTTGAGAGGAGGAATTTTCCACTTCACACACTTCTGTAAGGATTTCTGTGACCTGCTGGACCTCCATTTCGCCACACGAGGGCGCTTCATCTCTACTATCTTCAGCTCCTGCCCATTACCAGACCAGAAAAGAGAAGGGAATCTCCATGATATCATATACACATGCGTATTATTAATACGTTTCTGGTTAGTGCGCATTTCTAACCTTTTGCACTTGGAATCAGCGAGCACCATTACTGGACTGTGATTTATTGATTTATTCATTTGCTTTGGTTTCATTTATTATTTATATCTGCCCGCAATATAGTAACATCACACAGCGCTGCATTTTCTTTATATAAGTAGATGCAGCAATGTCACAGCCAACCATGTACCTTCATTGTGTTGCGCTCGGCGCCTCTCATCACGCGGAGTTCTGTTTCCATCCATTTTCCTGATAAGAAACAGACAAAAATGAACCAGCTACTTTATTCTAGATAAGATACATGAACATTAGATTAGAATGTGTGTGAAAAACGGCAGCACAACGCCACGAGGACAGGAATGGAAAGTTTTATGAGACCATGAAAGATCTGGACATCATTGTACTGTAACCAATGACAAAGCAACACAAGCAATCTTCAAATCAAATCAACCTAAAAGCTGCCTGAAGAGACTGTGAACCATTTGATACAGCTCATCCACTCCCTCATCATATCACGACTCGACTACTGCAACTCCCTCCTCACTGGCCTGCCTCGCCGCTGGCTATCCCCGCTTCAGTCGATCCTGAATACGGCTGCCAGACTCATTCACCTTTCCAACCGCTCCATCTCCGCCACCCCCCTCTGCCAATCCCTCCACTGGCTTCCGATTGTGCAACGGATCAAATTAAAATCCTAACACTGACATACAAAGCCGTCCACCATACTGCCCCGAACTACATCACTGACCTAATATCCAAGTACCACCCAACACGCACACTCCGCTCCTCACAAGACCTCCTTCTCTCTAGTTCCCTGGTCTCCTCCTCCCATGCCCGCCTCCAGGACTTCTCCAGGGTGTCACCCATCCTCTGGAACTCCCTGCCCCAACCCATCAGATTATCACCTACTCTCCTCTCCTTTAGGCGCACCCTGAAAACCCATCTCTTCAGGGAAGCCTACCCCACCCCCTCCTAACCTGCCGACCTCCTCCACTCTTCCTACCACCCCATCCCCCACAGCTATCTCCTCCTGTGCCACCATCCCCTCCCTCCTAGATTGTAAGCTCGAAAGAGCAGAGCCCTCAATCCCCTCATGTTTTGCATTGTATTGGTATTGTTCTGTCACATGTTCTGTCCCCCTTTGTAATGTACAGCGCTGAGCGAACCATTGGCGCTTTATAAATACTGTATATAATAATAATAATTTGGCACACATGACTGTTCACTGGAGTTCGGCTTTTTAACCAAGCTCTAGGTAAGCACTGGCCAACGTACTTGATACAGGGGGCCTCATGTATGGCCCTTGCCATCACTAAGGGCTGCAAACAGAATGCAGTAAACTGTGAACATGCTAGAAGAGTTGTTGGATACTGGAGACATACCTTAGCAGTCATGGAATGGGTCCATTTTACATGAGACTGCTAGAGATCATGGTTATTACAGCCCCTTTACAAATGAATGCTTCCAAATTTGTGCCCCTACAGCCCCTTAAAAAGGACTAATGGGGAAAGGGGTGGGCCGCATAGAAGAAAAAAAAAAAAAAAAAGGGTGAAACAGGAACATATCAGAGCTTAAGACAGTTACTGGTACGTACGGAGAGTAAGGATGAGTGCGTGGCGCTATAGTCCTCTGTGTTCCAGCGGGAATCACATCTTGAGGGGTCATCATGACGTAAAATTGCCCTAAAAAAAAAAAAAACGAACATAAAATTGTTAATTGGTGGCTGCCAGACCAGCTGCTGACAAGATCACAATGGAAAAACTAAAATGAACCCCTTGCCCTCCTGAGGATTTACCCCCCTGTATCTGACCAGGCCATTTTTTGCGTTACGGCGCTGCGTTACTTTAACTGATAATTGCACGGTCATGCAACGCTGCACCCAAATGAAATTTACTTCTTTTTTTTCCCCAAGAATTGAGCTTTCTTTTGCTGGTATTTGATCGCCTGTGCATTTTTTATATTTTGCACTATAAAACAAAACAAAAAAAAAAAAAACAATTTTGAGAAAAAAAAAAAAACAATATTACTTTTTGCTATTAAACATGTCCAGTAAAAAAAAGTTATAAAATCAAATTTCGTCATAAATTTAGGACAAAATGTATTCGGCTGCGTATCTTTGCTAAAAAAAAAAAAAAAAAAATAAGTGTAAATTTCTTGGTTTACGTGAAGGTTATAGCGTTTACAAATGGCGGTATAGATACTGGAATTTTTTTTTCCCATACGATTAATGGTGGCGATCGGCGACTCATAGCGGAACTGAAGCGGGCATTCTGACACTGGGGGGGAACTGACTTGGTGTCACTGACATCCCCAATGATCATACAGTGATCAGTGCTAAAAAAAAAAAAAAAAAAAAAAAAAAAAAAAAAAAAGCACTGACACTGTACTAATGGCACTGGGCAGGAAGGAGTTAATATGAGGGGCAATCAAAGGGTTAACTGTGTGGAGGGAGTGTTTTACTAGGGGGGTGGTGTGTTGGTGCTTCACTGGAAGCACACTGCTTTGGATGGCTGTGCACTGCCATCCAGAGCAGTGTGCCTGAGCCGACAGGGAGGACGACTGTTCATAAACAAAGCATCCCTCCTCCCCGTCAGAGATCCTCGGTAATCACCGGATGGGACCCGGTGATTGCCAGCCGCGAAAGGCGGTGCAGGTAGGGTGCTCGCGCTCGCCTCCTACCCAAAAATTCCAAAATCAAGAATATATAGATATGCGATTTTGCGCACCCCTGCCGCCCTGTAGCAGTATATCTTCTATAGGGCGGCAGGGAAGCGGTTAAAAAGGTACAGTTTCACTTCTAGTCTATTTACATTGTCGTCGTTCAAGCCCTATTGAAGAGGGCACTCTTGAACACCCAAAACACTTTTAGGACTGTACCCCCTGACTTTCATTAGAATAAAGTTGAACCTGGACCTCTTAGCAGTGGCGAAGCATTTCAATTTGAATTTTTGTTACACAAAACTGCTAGAGCGGCTTTATTTAGGACTGAATAGCACACACAGTATCAAGAAAGTGCAGAAGTTACAGTGGGTGAAGAGTGGAACGATAGGAAATGTCTAATGCAAACACTTACACATTACCTAAGCATGCCCTGCAGTGTATGTTTTAAAAAGATAGCTATAAATACCTAGTTTTCCTTTGGGTGGCCATGTGATCGCTTGGTCTCTTCTTCTCTGCCCCCCCCCCCCCCCCCCCCCCCCACCGAAGAAGAAGGAAGCGCTGCTCTGTAGAGTCCAGACAGGAACCCTCCCCATGGAGGCTGCTGTCAATCTGCAGTTAGGGGCAGGCCAATGGGCATGGCTGTCAGTTATTCAGGCAGACCTGACTGAACAGTCCATTCACCCCTATGGACTGGTGGATGTAAACGGACTTGTGCCCATTTACACCCACCTACCTCTGATCCGATCTTGTCCGCTTAAAAAAAAAAAAAAAAAAAAAAACAGAAGGGGATCCATCCTGCTCCGTCTAGCCCAGGGGTGTCAAACTGGCGGGCCCTCCAGCTGTAGCAAAACTACAAGTCCCATCATGCCTCTGCCTTTGGGAGTCCTGCTTGTAACTGTCAGTCTTGCAATGCCTCATGGGACTTGTAGTTTGGCAACAGCAGGAGGGCCGCCAATTTGACACCTGTGGTCTAGACCAGCGGTGGGCAACCTTTTTTTTCAACTGAGCCAAATCTCGCCAAAACCATGATTGAAATTTATTTTGAGAGCCACATTTTTAAAACTGAAAATACATCCCCCATATAGTAATTCATCTAGTAATTCATCCCCCATAGTGTAATTCATCCCCCATATAGTAATTCATCCCCCATCGTAATTCATCCCCCATAGTAATTCATCCCCATAGTAATTCATCCCCCATAGTAATTCATCCCCCATAGTAATTCATTTTTCATCCCCCATAGTAAATCCCCCATAGTAATCATCCCCATAGTAATTCATCCCCCATTAGTAATTCATCCCCCATAGTAATTCATGCCCCATATAGTAATTCATCCCTCATAGCAATTCATCCCCCGTATAGTATTTCTTCCCTCGTATAGTATTTCATCCCCCATTTCATCCCCATATGTATTTCATCCCCCATATAGTAATTCATCCCCCATATAGTATTTCATCCCTCATATAGTAATCCCTCATATAGTATTTCATCCCCCCATATATAGTATTTCATCCCTCATATAGTATTTCATCCCCCCATATAGTATTCATCCCTCATATAGTATTTCATCCCTCATATAGTAATTCCCCCATATAGTAATTCAATATAGTATTTCATCCCTCATATAGTATTTCATCCCCCCATATAGTATTTCATCCTCATATAGTATTTCATCCCCCCATATAGTAATCCCCTCATATAGTATTTCATCCCCCCATCATCCCTCATATAGTAATTCATCCCCCCATATAGTAATTCATCCCCCATATAGTAATTCATCCCTCATATAGTATTTCATCCCTCATTTCATCCCCCCATATAGTAATTTCATCCCCCCATATAGTATTTCATCCCCCCATATATAGTCCCCCATATAAGTATTCATCCCTCAGTATTTCATCCCTCATATAGTATTTCATCCCCATATAGTATTTCATCCCCCACAGTACTATCCCCCCCTTCTAGTAAGCCAAGTCCCCCGTGTCAATTCACTTACCTTTTGCGTTCCCTCCTGTTTCCCGCGCCGTTCAGGTCTTCTGTGAGAGGAGCCTAGCTCCCCTCCCCTCACGTTCGGCATGCTGCCCCGCCTACACACATCCTGACAGCCACATCCGCGGGCCGGATTAAAAGGTCCGCGCGGACTTTTGGGGCTGCCAACCGAGAGAAGGCAGGGGAGCGGGCCGACCGAGAGGAGGGAGGGGAGCGGGCGCCCGGCACACAGAAGAGCCGCATTAGAGTGGGTAAAGAGCCGCATGTGGCTCGCGAGCCGCGGCTTGCCGACCACTGGTCTAGACCAGTGGTGGGCAACCTTTTTTTTCAACTGAGCCAAATCTCGCCAAAACCACGATTGAAATTTATTTTGAGAGCCACATTTTTAAAACTGAAAATACATCCCCCATATAGTAATTCATCCCCCATAGTAATTCATTCATCCCCCATATAGTAATTCATCCCCATATAGTAATTCATCCCCCATAGTAATTCATCCCCCATATAGTAATTCATCCCCCATAGTAATTCATCCCCCATATAGTAATTCATCCCCCATATAGTAATTCATCCCCCATAGTAATTCATCCCCCATATAGTAATTCATCCCCCATATAGTAATTCATCCCCCATAGTAATTCATCCATCCTATAGTAATTTATCCCCCATATAGTAATTCATCCCCCATAGTAATTCATCCCCCATATAGTAATTAATCCCCCATAGTAATTCATCCCCCATAGTAATTCATCCATCCTATAGTAATTTATCCCCCATATAGTAATTCATCCCCCCTATAGTAATTCATCCCCCTATAGTAATTCATCCCCCCTATAGTAATTCATCCCCCCTATAGTAATTCATCCCCCATAGTAATTCATCCCCCATAGTAATTCATCCCCCATAGTAATTCATCCCCCCTATAGTAATTCATCCCCCATAGTAATTCATCCCTATATAGTAATCATCCCCCATAGTAATTCATCCCCCATAGTAATTCATCCCCCCTATAGTAATTCATCCCCCATAGTAATTCATCCCTATATAGTAATTCATCCCCCATATAGTAATTCATCCCCCCTATAGTAATTTATCCCCCCTATAGTAATTCATTCCCCATATTGTGTCAATTCACTTACCTTTGCTCCGCGCGTTCCTCTCGCCGTGTTCCCGCGCCGTTCCGGTCTTCAGGGCGGACTGTGAGAGGAGAGGAGTTCGTCATGCTGCCCCGCCTACATCCTGACAGCCATTGTTTGCCACGCTCCGCGGGCCGGATTAAAAAGGTCCGCCAGCGGGCCGTAGTTTGCCCATTGCTGGGCTAGCTGCTGAGTCCTGACTTTTGGGGCGGCCGCCCGAGAGGAGGGAGGGGAGCGGGTGCCCGGCACACAGAAGAGCCGCATTAAAGTGTGTAAAGAGCCGCATGTGGCTCGCGAGCCGTGGCTTGCCGACCACTGGTCTAGACGGATCAGATCAGAGGGCAATCGGGTGTAAATGGAGTCCACATGGCAACCCATACAGCAAAAAGGGCTCTGAAACTGGTCGGACACGGACCTGTCGTCTGCCCGCTCTGCTCTGCTTAGCAGGGGATCAGCGGACAGATGCTGATCAAAATGTAGTTGCCCCTCGTGTGAAAGGGGCCTTCGTATATATGGAAACTTTAAATACATTTTTATTTGGGTTTTCTGGCACTCCAATCTAAACATTTCTAATGTCCTTTAGGAAGGTACTGATGGGAGCACTTTGCATTATCCCATCCCCCCGACCTATCAGGGTCACTGCGAGGAAATCTCACATGTCATCCTTGATCCTTTATTTCATATCATGAGGCAGTGACCCAGAAAAGAAGATCTCACTGCTGAGGCACACAACAGATAGAAAGCCAGCAAGTGAATCATTCCACCGCTGTCCACCCATAGGTAACAAAAATCAGTTTGGAGCAATGTGGCCCTTAAAATGTTTAAAAGGAAAAAATATTTATTGTGCTGTAAAAAGCAAAACTTCGCTTGAATGCAAAAGAAAGATTAAAGTCATATTTAAATCCTGAATAGAGAGCAGAAGAATCAACAAATATTTTCCCCCATTACCTCCAGCCTGGGCCAGTTGCGAGTCAGCTGTCTGTACAGATACTGCAGTGGTGTCCCCCACCGTGGAAGCCGGGAAGTACGCAAACCGCGTCTCCCCGCTGACTGCATCTGTTGAAGGACTTCCGCCATTACTGAAAGGGTTCTGGATGACGGCCTGTGACAGACAGAAATAAAATCACGGTAATATCTTCCTGCAAACTGTCAATTATAGAGCCCTAAATCTATACCTGTTTGTAAAAACATAAGCAACTCGAATGCCTGTAACCTCCCTAGCGGTCTGATTATGTCCATATTTCTGTGCTCAAAGCGGTACATTTTTTTGCATGGAAATATGTATTTTTTTATTGTAGGCCTGTAATTCTTAGGAATAACTCACTGAAATCTGTCCGAACAAGAGTCTAGGAAACATCCCGGGTATGTTACAATTTGAAACACGAAATCATAAATTAATAATAATAAATAATCATAAAAAATAATAATATAATAAATTTAATTCAATAATATAATCAAACCAAAAACACTGAAATGTGAAATAGAGCGCCAAGTTCGCACATCGCTGAGCTCAGTCGCAGAATCGTTTTCAGTGTCTGATGAGGAATTTCCCCCACAATCATTATCACTCAATTCTGCAAGTGGTTCTGATTTACTATCGCTGTTCTCTAGCCGGTCTAAAACCGCTTTTGACCTAAAGGGACACTTTTTGGACGCCATGGACGTTTCTCAGTTTCCAGGCAGAAAGAACAGTAAAAATGCAGGCAGGGCGCCGGACAAAGCACTCGGGACAAAATGTATGTGAAATGGTTGGATACAGGAATGTTATACTATGTGATTTTAGTGTATTTAGTGAATGTCACTTTTTAACATTTTTAAATTTCCCGCCAGTTCCGTCCCCCGTACGTACGTCGCAGAGAACGGAACCCGGGATCGGCCGGAGGACATTGCCAGGGACACTGCAGGAGGGACATCGCGGGAGCGCAGGACAAGGTAAGTGAAGAAGAGATCCCGGAGCAACGCTGCAGTGTATTCCCGAGTGTAGGTCGGGGGGGTTACCGCTATTGGTGCTGAAACCTTACCCCGAGCTACACTCGGGAATACCTCCAGGGGGGTTAAAAGGATAATTCTGCAAAGTTGTTTTCCACAAAGCAGAGAAAATAATATCCTTACCCGTGTTCTTTGCTGGAAACACCCAGAGAAACCCGTTTCCCTGCACTTAGGTCTGTGTCCCAGGCTATTGCTGTAGCTGAACGATCAGCCTCTGTACAAACTAAAGCATATCTCAACCCAAAAATAAAAATGTAACATATTGCAGCTAACTGGCCCTTAGATGTGGTGGTTGCATTCATTTCCTTCTTTCAGGCTTTTATTCCTTTATTTTCACCTGGTAATCATGAAAATAGCACATTTCCTGTCCTACAGAGGCTAGACTCACTGACTGTATGTATGGAGGGAGCCATGGTGGCCACATAGACCGGGCTTCAAACATATCTATCTTCATCTCCATTACATGGCGGAGGGAATAGTTTACAGACGATCGCTAACATTGTTTGTGCCAGTGTTTCTCAACCATTTTTCAGTCAAGGCACACTTTAAAATGATGGACATTCCCGAGGCACCCCATTCTAAAATGTGAAAAACTATTCTGCATTCACTATGTCCGCTCTCCCCCGGACCCCGCGTTCACTATGTCTGCTCTCCCCTTACCCCGCGTTCACTATGTCCGCTCTCCTCGAACCCTGCGTTCATTACGTCCGCTCTCCCCGGACCCCGCGTTCACTATATCGCTCTCCCCGGACCCCGCATTCACTATATCCAGTCTCCCCGGACCCCGCATTCACTATATCCAGTCTCCCCGGACCCCGCATTCACTATATCTGGTCTCCCAGACCCCGCATTCACTATATCTGGTCTCCCCAGACCCCGCATTCACTGTATCCGCTCTCCCCGGACCCCGCATTCACTGTATCCGCTCTCCCCCAGACCGAGCATTTACTATATCCGCTCTCCCCGGACCCCGCATTCACTGTATCCGCTCTCCCCAGACCGAGCATTTACTATATCCGCTCTCCCCGGACCCCGCATTCACTATATCCGCTCTCTCCCCCGACCCCGCATTCACTATATCCGGTCTCCCCAGACCCCACATTCACTATATCCGGTCTCCCGGGACTCCGCATTCACTGTATCCGCTCTCCCCGGACTCTGCATTCACTGTATCCGCTCTCCCCGGACCCCGCATTCACTGTATCCGCTCTCCCGGTCCCCGCATTCACTGTATCCGCTCTCCCCGGACCCCGCATTCACTGTATCCGCTCTCCCCGGACCCCGCATTCACTGTATCCACTCTCCCCGGACCCTGCATTCACTGTATCCGCTCTCTCCCCGGACCCCGCATTCACTGTATCCCTGTGCTCTCTCCCGGACCCCGCATTCACTATATCCGCTCTCTCCCCGGACCCCGCATTCACTATATCCGCTCTCCCCCGGACCCCGCATTCACTATATTTGGTCTCCCCGGACCCTGCATTCACTATATTTGGTCTCCCGGACCCCGGATTCACTATATTTGGTCTCCCCGGACCCCGCATTCACTATATCGACTCTCCCCAGTCCCCGCATTCACTATATTTCGTCTCCCCGGACCCTGCATTCACTATATCCGCTCTCCCCAGACCCTGCATTCACTATAGCAGAGGGCATTCCTAGACCGGCTGCGTTTGCGTACAACACCCACATGTGACGCTGAGCCTCTATGATTGAAAGAACTGAAATCCAATGAATGAATAGGGGTGGGGCCAGGGACAGCAAGACTGGAGAGGAAAGAGCTAGATGCTGTAAGGCAGGCTCTATCTGACCTGCTACAGATTTGAATGCACACTGCGAGAAGCTCACAGTGTGCAGTGAAATCAGAGTAAGCAGTCTGAGCACAGAAGACCAGCCTGTACAACTGTGCGAGACGGAAGGGAAGACCGGAGTTGGACTTTAAACTAAAGCAGATGTTTTGTACACAAGGTACACCACTGCATCTTTGACTCTCACCTGTGCTACAGCTTGTGGGGTGCCAGCAAAGGCTGCAGTAGAAACCACACTCACTGCTCCAGTCGTATCACCCTGACCGTCCAGCTGACCATCTGTCACCTGGACTACTCTGTATGTCACCTGGAGAAGACAAGACAGCACAACATAAATCAAAGGGAACAAGAGCAGAGCCTGAACAGAAGAATGATATACTGTACAGACATAATCACATTCTATAGACCAGGGCTTGAAACTTCCACTCGCCTGCTCGCCAATGGCGAGTGGAAATTATGGTGGGGGCGAGTGTGTCCTCCCCCAGGGCTGTCTTGCTGAGCAGGCTCGGAGCTCAGGCCGGATCTGTCATTGGCACTGGGAGCCGTCCGACTGCTCAATAGCTGAGCGCAGTGAAAGCAAAGCAAGGAGTGCAGTACCCGGATCTGTGAGTGAACAACGAAGTACTGCAACTTTTATGGGGGTGGGTTGGTGTGTGTGTATGCATGTACATTGTACATGTGTCTGTGTGTTGTACATGTGTGTATCTGTACATGTGTCTGCGTGTTAGTACATGTGTGTGTGTGTGTGTGTACATGTGTATGTATGTACACGTGTCTGTGCATATGTATTTCTTTGTATGTACATGTATCTGTGTGTCTGTATGTGCCTGTGTGTGTATACATGTGTCTGTGTATGTGTACATGTGTCTACTGTGCGTGTGTGTACATGTCTCTGTGCGTGTGTACTGTTTCTGTGTGTATACATGTTTCTGTGTGTGTATACATGTTTCTCTGTGCTTGTGTGTACATGTGTCTCTGTCTTGTGTGTGTGTGTGTGTGTGTGTACACATGTGTCTCTGTGCTTGTGTGTACATGTTTCTGTGTGTGTGTGTGTACACATGTGTCTCTGTGCTTGTGTGTGTGTTTCTGTGTGTGTGTACACATGTGTCTCTGTGCTTGTGTGTACATGTTTCTGTGTGTATGTACATGTCTGTGTGTGTACGTGTCTCTGTGCGTGCGTGTACATGTTTCTGTGTGTGTGTATGTACATGTCTGTGTGTGTGTACAGGTGTCTCTGTTTGTGTGTGTTTGTTGGTGGCAAGTAACTCTAAGGCCTGGCTAGTAGCTCAGGACTTGAAATTTTCAGCCCTGCTATAGACCGTCACTGTCAATTTACAACTGGAAGATCCCTGTCGTTTTTGATACAGACGCTCCCCTAAATCCTTACATTCCTATAAAATGCTCAGTCCGCTGCGGTGGAGGCAGACTTTACCCCCGGTTCACATCTGTGCGGGTGGTGCTGCTGCGGATCCGCACGAAAATCCGTGCAGCCGCATAACACGCACAGAGACTTGCGGACCCGCGGGCGGGTGCCATTAGTTCTGATGGCATGCTGCCCGCACTGGGAAATGCAACCGTACTGGGAACCGAGGTTCCTGTGCGGGCTGCATTTTCCAAAGTAGTGCAGGGACTTCTTTCCCTGCCTGTCACGGGGGCGTCCATTCAAATGAATGGGCTCTCGTGCCCAAGGAAAACGCGGCCCACGCGGCCGCATAGGTGTGAACCGGGGGTCAGTGTACAGACTTATAAAAAACCAGAAGAATGCAGGTGTCCTCAGAGCTGGCGCCAAAATGTTACGGGCTAAGTAACTGGTGGTGAATACAACTGGCTGGTATGTCATGTCCACCTGACCACTTAGAACCATTAGCAGAACAAGTGATGATGTGGACCCTCCATTGTTCCAGGGTAGCGTAATTGACATACCTGACCTCCATTGTTCTCTGTGCGGAACTGATACTGAATGTTGTGGTCTGCGAATGCTGCTTGCTGGACAGTAGCAATGGCCACCGCGGTATGTTCATCAGCACTCGTCTCATCACCTGCAGACAAACAAAAATGCTTTACATTAGTCATGGAGGACTATGTACACGGTCTACATGTATGGTGACCTAGTCTTAGTATAGAAATCAGGAAGAGATTCAGGCAGAGTCATTCTGCATCAGATTCACAATCCCTCAGAGTGCTTATGCTGCGAGGAATATATAGCAGCCAATGGAGGGTTGTGTCTAGAGCAGACTCTCTCTACCAAGGCTCCGCGGAATCCTGGGGACTCCTTCAGAGGTTGCTGTGGGGTTCCTTGAGCAATGAGAAATTTCTGCCTCTCACAAATGTAAGTACTGACACCAATGATCTTTTAAGCTATCAGTAAATGGGGCATTCTTTCCAATGGCCACCAGTGTAAGGAAGGCATGCATCCCACTGGTCACCAATGTAAGGGGCATTCTTCCTACAGATCACCAATGTAAGGAGCATTCTTCCCACTGGTCACCAATGTAAGGAGCATTATTTCTACAGATCACCAATGTAAGAAGCATTATTTCTACAGATCACCAATGTAAGGAGCATTTTCCCCAATGGTCACCAATGTAAGGAGCATTCTTTCCACTGACCCCCAATGTAAGGGACATTCTTCCCACTGATCACCAATGTAAGGGACATTCTTCCCACTGACCACCAATGTAAGGGACATTCTTCCCACTGACCACCAATGTAAGGGACATTCTTCCCACTGATCACCAATGTAAGGAGCATTCTTCCCACTGATCACCAATGTAAGGGGCATTCTTCCTACTGACCCCCAATGTAAGGGACATTCTTCCCACTGATCACCAATGTAAGAGACATTCTTCCCACTGACCACCAATGTAAGAGACATACTTCCCACTGACCACCAATGTAAGGGACATTCTTCCCACTGACCACCAATGTAAGGGACATTCTTCCCACTGACCCCCAATGTAAGGGGCATTCTTCCCACTGACCCCCAATGTAAGGAGCATTCTTCCCACTGACCACCAATGTAAGGAGCATTCTTCCCACTGACCACCAATGTAAGGAGCATTCTTCCCACTGACCACCAATGTAAGGGACATTCTTCCCACTGATCACCAATGTAAGGGACATTCTTCCCACTGACCCCCAATGTAACAGACATTCTTCCCCACTGACCTCCAATGTAAGGGACATTCTTCCCACTGATCACCAATGTAAGGGACATTCTTCCCACTGACCCCCAATGTAACAGACATTCTTCCCCACTGACCTCCAATGTAAGGAACATTCTTCCCACTGACCCCCAATGAAAGAAACATTCTTCCTATGGATCACCATGCTATATGCACCATGATCTGTAGATATAGTAATTATTGGCAGGGGTTCCCTGAGTCAAAGGATATTCTGCTTAACCTCTTCACGCCGGCCGAACGCAAATGTGCAGCCTCCCAGCGTCTGGGCCTAGACGCCGAGCAGCCGCACATTTGCTTTCTATTAAAAAAGGACATATGTGCCGAGAGTGCGCGCCCTGCGCGCTCCCAGCACATGTCTGGTGCTCACGGAAAGGTCCGTCCAAACGCACCAGCATCACTGGTTACTCGTGTAAAGCAATGCAGCTGCTAAGAACGGTCACACCAGCAGTCTATGACTACACATGTATTTCAGGCAGCTGCAAATTAACCCAGAATATAATGTGAGCCATCGATCGCTGCGATAGGCCGACTCACATACCGCAGCTCTGGCTGTTGGCTAGTCTCAGGGTGGCAATAACAAGCCGGATTATATACTGTATTCTCTGTGTTATACTATTCTGTTGTCAGCCTGGAAAGTTAGTTTGACAAGCAACTGTAATGCCAGAGAGACTTACCGTCATGTAACTCTACCACATCATCTGTGTCCTGTCCTTTGTCATGACTGAAAAAAAAAAAAAAGAAAAAAAAGAAAGATTTAATATACAAATCTGCACATACAAAAACAGTCACAGATGTGGTTTCTTAATGGGAAAGTGTTCTACATATGGAGACTTTCTAAAAATCACGCAAGAGGCTTAATCTTGACCGTGGGCTATGGCAACCTCTTGGCTAGTCCGATCCTTGCTATAGGAGTGTGACCAACGCATGTCTATGTTCTCATGTGCAAACGTCACAGTACGCACAGCAGATTCAGAAGGTCCCAGGGATGCTGGTGAGGAGCAGTCAGTAAAAAGGAGATAATGAATGCCAATCTGTCTTTTCTTTTCTATGAATGTGGTTGTTGACAGAAATGGGAAGGAGACTGCGGTACTACATTTTCGGAAGAGGACTGGGAACCTATGGTGGATAATATACGTAAGGGATCTAGGTCCATCTCAGTTTGGGAGACGACCCTTAAAAGCGGAGTTCCGCTCACCCTGTCAAAAAATAAAAGTCAGCAGCTACAAAAACTGTAGCTGCTGACTTAACTACATGCCGCCCAGCCACTGTAGATATACGGCGGCAGGGCGGCACTCGCAGGCAAAACCACGTTTTAAAACGTGTGTTTTGTAAACAAATAGGGGACGCGCACGAGGCGTGCCGCCGCCCTATCTGTCCCGCGGATCACCGCCGCAGATGTCAGTCGCCAGGTCACAGCCGCTCCTTAGTGGCTATGTCCCGGCGATCGGCGGCAAACAGTGACAGAGAGCACAGCTGCAGTAGCTGTGCTGTCTGTCACTTCCCTGTCAGCTCGAGGATGAGCTGATCGAGAAAGAATAGTTTCTCTTTCTCGATCAGCCTTGTCCCGCCCAGTACACACCCCGCCCCCTAGTAAAACACTCCCCCTCACTCCTATAACCCTTCCCTGCAAAATAAAGTTAACCCCTTCCTCCCCAGTGCCATTAGTACAGTGTCAGTTTTCTTTTTTTTTGCACTGATCACTGTATTAGTGTTTTTGGGGATGTCAGTGACCCCAAGTCAGTACCCCCCAATGTCAGAATGTCCGCCGCAGTCCCGCCATAAGTCACTGTTCGCTGCCATAATTCGCTGATCGCTGCCATTATTAGTATAAAAAAAACCCTAAAAATCCCAGTATCTTTCCCGCCATTTGTAAACGCTATAACTTTCACGTAAACCAATTAATTTACACGTATTGGGTTTTTTTTTTTACCAAAGACATGTCGCAGAATGCATTTTGGCAGACATTTGACTAAATTTGATTTTTGCATTTTTTTTTTAACTGGACATGTTTTATAGCAAAAAAGTCCAAAATATTGTTTTTTTTTTTTCCTCAAAATTGTCAGCCTTTTTTTTTATAGCGCAAAATATAAAAAACCGCACAGGTGATCAAATACCACCAAAAGAAAGCTCAATTTGTGGGGAAAAAAAGGATGTAAATTTCATTTATGTACCGTATTGCATGACCGCGCAATTGTCCGTTAAACTAGCACAGCGCTGTATAGCAGAAAAATGGCGTAAATTGCAGTATCTATACCATAGTTGTAGATGCTATAACTTCCACACAAAGCAATCAATATACACTCATTGGGATTTTTTTTTACCAAAAACATGGAGCAGAATACATTTTGGCCTAAATTTATAAACAACTTTGAGTTTACTATATATTTTTTATAGCTGAAAGTAAAAAATATTGTTTTTCTTCAAAATTTTTGGCCTTTTTTTGTTTATAGCGTGAAAAATAAAAAGCGCACAGGTGATCAAATACCACCGAAAGAAAGCTCTATTTGTGTGAAAAAAAGGATGTAAATTTCGTTTGGGTGCAGCATTGCATGACCGCGCAATTATCAGTTGAATTAGTGCAGCGCCGAGTAGCAAAAAGAGGCCTGGTCATTAAGGGGGGTAAATCCTCTGGAGCTCAAGTGGTTAAAAAAACAGCCACTTACCTGTCCCTCGATCCCGCGGTGTGTTCCCCCCCAGCCTGTTTCACCAACCGTCCTGTATTCCAGGAGGCCGGCATCTTCAGTGTGGGCACCCGGCTGTGCAGCTTGCAGCTTCACAGCCGGGTACCCACTGCACATGTGCGAGTAGCGCCGCACTTCATGAATGGTCCTGTAGTCTTCTGTGACAACACTTCAACCAAGAGACCCTGAGAATGACTGAACATCCGAGGTCTCGTTTCACCCGCAGCTCCCCAGTGCCTCTGATCTCTTCTTCTATACTCCACCAACCTGGCTTCTGATTATGGAGAGGAATCTCTCCCGGGTCTAAATATTATTGTACGGTGGGCGTTTCTTCATAATATTTTGGCGTGTTGTGGAACGTATCTCATGACTCAGCTCCACTCAGAGAGTCTTTGTTTTGAAGGGATTTCATTTTCTGCTGCCAAAAAATGTGACATAACCAGACAGAGAATCTCACAGGAAGGATGCAGCGGTAGACTGTGATAAAATGTAAACTTCACTGTAATGAATATTTTGTGTTCTCACTACTGACTGGACACACAGCAATTCACCTACACAAAGGCAAAATTCCAGAAAAAAAAAAAAAAAAAAAAAGTAAAGTTTTTGTAAAGTTACCTTCATTCATTCTATGCATGAAAGTAAAACTTTCTGTGGGCAGCATCCCCAGCCCCCCCCCAATACTTACCTGAGCCCCCTATCAATCCAGCGTTGTGCACAAGAAGCAGCATTTCTCCTGGAACTCTCCTTCCTTATTGGCTGAGACAGCAGCAGGAGCCACTGGCTACCTGTCAATCACAGCCAGTGAGCCAAAGAGGAAAGAGTGGTTGGTGGGGTGGAGCCAAGGCGCGCTCTGTGTGTGAATGGACACACAGAGGCTCAAGAGCTTGGGTGACCCAATAGCAAGGCTCCTGCTGCTGGCAATCACAGCCAGTGAGCCAATCAGGAGAGGGAGGGGAGGGACTGAGATACAGCTCAGTGTGTGAATGGACACACAGAGCTGCGGCTCAGGAACATGCCTGCTCAGGTGCCCCCATAGCAAGGCTCCCGCTGCTGGCAATCACAGCCAGTGAGCCAATCAGGAGAGGGAGGGGAGGGACCGAGATACAGCTCTGTGTGTGAATGGACAGACAGAGCTGCGGTTCAGGAGCATGCCTGCTCAGGTGCCCCCATATCAAGGCTCCCGCTGCCGGATATCACAGCCAGCGAGCCAATCAGGAGGGAGGGGAGGGACTGAGATACAGCTGTGTGTGTGAATGGACACACAGAGCTGCGGCTCAGGAGCATGCCTGCTCAGGTGCCCCCATAGCAAGCGGTTTGCTCTGGGGGGACTCAGTAATAAGGAGGGGCCAACAGCGCCGGCGCGGAACCCGACAAGAGGTGGATTGGGGCTACTCTGTGCAAAGCCATTACATAGAGCAGGTAAGTATGACATGTTTATTATTTAAAAATGATGTCTTTAATATCACTTTAAAGGAAACCTGACGAAATCCAATACAATTAAAACCTAATGTGTGCGCTGGAAACACCTTTGAATCTGGTACTCGGCGCATGCTATCAGAATGTGAAAATATATGTTCACCTTAAAGCAGAGTTCCAGCCAAAAGTGGAAGCGCCGTCTTAAGGACTCGTCCCCCCCCCCACTCACCATTGATGATCGGAACCTATAGGGAGCGGGTACCCCGATGTTGACAGGAACCAAACTCCCACTTTCGCTCTGCCTACCCTAGACGATCGGAAGTTCCCCCCCCCCGTACAGCTTTCTGGGACACATATCAGGTCCCAGAAGACTGCAGGACCAATTCACAATGCGCATCACTGCTTGCGTATGCGCAGTGGCCATCCGGCTCTGAAAGCTGGTTGCCCACACTCAAGATCTCAGTGCTGGGTAGAGAAGACAGCCTATGAACACGGCTGCAGTGAGCACACCGCTGGATCATGAGACGGCTAAGTTTCTGTTTTTTAAAAGTCAGCAGCTACAGTTTTTATAGTTGCTGAATGATTTTTTTTCACAGGAGACTGAAGCTCCGCTTTAAAGTGGTTCTAAAGCCTGAAGGGTTTTCACCTTCATGCAACAAAAAAACAAAAAACCAAAAAAAAAAAAACTTTGCCTTTGTACCAAAAAAAAAAAAAAATGACGTATACCTAAAACAATATATTTGTGCAAAAGTATTCTTTTCTATTGACATTCCCTACGTATACAATGTTGATAGGCGGGAGGTGTAATGAATGTGGAAATGATATGGGAAGCATCAACTAATCCCTCTACATGCTAAAAATTAAAAAAAAAAAAAAAATAAAAAAAAAAAAAAAAACAACTTTGTAAAAAAAAAAAAAAAAAAAAGACGTATACCTAAAACAATATATTTGTGCAAAAGTATTCTTTTCTATTGACATTCCCTACATATACATTGTTGATAGGCAGGAGGTGTAATGAATGTGGAAATGATATGGGAAAGCATCAACTAATCCCTCTACACTCCAAAACGAAAAAAAAAAAAAAAACAAAAAACTTTGCCTTTGTACCAAAAAAAAAAATAAAAAAAATGACGTATACCTAAAAGAATATATTTGTGCAAAAGTATTCTTTTCTATTAACATTCCCTACGTATACAATGTTGATAGCCGGGAGGTGTAATGAATGTGGGAATGATATGGGAAGCATCAACTAATCCCTCTACACTCCAAAAAAAAAAAAAAAAAAAAAAAAAAACCCCAAAAAACTTTGCCTTTGTACCAAAAAAAAAAAGAAAGATGTATACCTAAAACAATATATTTGTGCAAAAGTATTCTTTTCTATTGACATTCCCTGTGTATACAATGTTGATAGGCAGGAGGTGTAATGAATGTGGAAATGATATGGGAAGCAACAACTAATCCCTCTACACTCCAAAAAGAAAAAAAAACAAAAACAAAAACTTTGCCTTTGTACTTAAAAAAAAAAAATGATTTATACCTAAAACAATATATTTGTGCAAAAGTATTCTTTTCTATTGGCATTCCCTGTGTATACATTGTTGATAGGCGGGAGGTGTAATGAATGTG